ACAGACTTCTGACCTCCAGAAGCGTAAGGTAGTAAATATGTATTGTTTTAAGCCACCGAATTTATGGTAATTTGTTATAACAGTAATAGGAAACTAATATGACTAATACATACAGAAAAATTAAGAAAAAAATTCCATTTACAATAGCAACAAAAAATAAAATAAATTAGGAATAAACTTAACAAAACAAGTACAAAACCTATGCTCTGAAAACTATAAACATTGTTGAAAGAAATTAAAGAAGACCTAAATAAATGGAAAGTCAGTCCATCTTCATGGATTGGAAAACTTAAATATTGTTAAGATGGCAATACTCCCCAAATTGATTTACAGATTCAACACAATCCCCATTAAAATTCTAGCTAGCTTCATTGCAGAAATTGACACAATGATCCTAAAATTCACATGAAAATTTGAGGAACTCAGAATAGCCAAAACAATCTTGAAAAAGAAAAACCAAGTTAGTATTGGTATAAGAATTTCCTTGGAATAGAATTGAGAGTCCATAAATAAACCTTAACAGTTGCAGCCAACTGATGTTTGACAAGGGTGCCAAGATAATTCAATGGGGGAAAGATAGTCTTTTAAATAAATGGTGCTGGGACAACTGGACATCTACATGCAGCAGAAAGAAGCTAGCTCCCTAACTCATACCATATACAAAAAACTAACTCCAGGCACAACACTTTCAGGCCTAGCTTTAACAATGAATTATTTAGTATAATAACAAAAGCAAAAACAGCAAAAGATAAAATAATAGGCATCATAAACATTAAAAACTTGTTCATCAAAAGACTACCAAAAAAGTAAAAAGACAAGCTACTGACTGGGAGAATATCTTTGGAAATCATATATCCAATAAGAATCTAATAACCAAACTATATGTAAAACGTCGACAACTTAACATTCAAAAGACAAAAAAAATCATAAAATGGGCAAAGGACTTGGATAGAAATTTCACCAAAGAGGACATTCAAATGGCCACCAAGCACATGAAAAGATGTTCAACGTCATTAGCCATCAGAGAGATGCAAATCAAAACCACAATGAGATACCATTTCATGCCCACTAGGACGGCTAAGATTAAAAAAACTAATAACATAACAAATCTGGGGGGGATGTGGGGAAATCAACACCTTCATACTCTTCTAGTGGGAATGTAAAATGGTGCTGTGGAAAACAGTCTTGCAGTTCCTGAGAAGGTTAAACTTAAATTACCATATGACCCAGCAATTCCACTCCTGGGTATACACCCCACAGAATTGAAAACATGTCCAAACAAAAGCTTGTCATGAAAGTTTATAGCAGCATAATTCATAATAGTCAAAAGGTGGGAACATTCCAAATACCCATCAATGGTGAGCAGATAAATAAAATGTAATACTGTAGATCCATACAATGGAAATTATTTGGCAATAAAAAAAATGAAGTACTGATACATGCTACAGCATGGATGAACGTTACGCTAAGTGAAAGAAGCCTATCACGAAAGACCACGTATTGTATTAAATGCCCAGAATAGGCAAACCCATAGTCAGAAAACATGGTTGTCTAGGGCTGGGAGAGGAGGGTGGGAAAAGTGAGGAGTGACTGCTAATAGGTACAGGGTTTCTTTTGGGGGTGATGAAAATATTCTGTATTTAATTGTGGTACACTTTAAATGGGTGAATTGTATCATTTGTGAATTATACCTCAATAAAGCTGTTAAAAAAAATCATGAGATACATTATTCATAATGGCCAAAAAGTGGAAACAACCCAAGTGTCCATCAACTGATGAATGGATAAACAAAATGAGGTATGTTATTCCATCCAATGGAGTATTATTCGGCCATAAAAAGGAATGAAGTACTGGATGAAGCTGGAAAACACTATGCTAAGTGAAAGAAGACAGTCACATATTTAATGATCCCATTTATATGGAATGTCCAGAATAGGCAAATCTATAGAGACAGAAAGTAGATTAGTGGCTGCCCAGGGTAGGGGACTGGGAAAGGGGAGAGACTGCTAATTGGGGTGGTGAAAATACCCTACAATCATTTGTGGTGGTGATGGTTGCATGACTCACTAAACACACTAAAAATGATTGAATGGTATCCTTTAAATTGTATGGTATGTGAATTATATCCCAGTAAAGCTGTTATTTAAAAAGACACAAGAATACACAAACACACGTTTTATACTATCTTTAACATACATACATACACACACACACACACATAAACAGTATGTAGTGTCAATGTATTTAAAATTTTTACATGTATGGTGGCATGGATTGAATTGTATCCCCCAAAAAATGTGTGTAGCAACTTGGCTAGGTCATGATTCCTAGTATTGTATGATTGTGTTATCTAATGTGATTTCCTTATGTGTTGTAAACTCTACCACTATGATGAGATTATATGTGATCTCATGTGTTGTAAATTCTATCACTGTGATGAGGTTATACTGACGAGGTTGACAAGATCAGTGTCTTAATGCAATCTCTTGAGATATAAAAGAGAGAAGCGAGCAGAGACACATAGGAACCTCGTACCACCAAGAAAGCAGTGCTGGGAGCAGAGCACATCCTTTGGACCTGAGGTTCCTGCACAGAGAAACTCCCAAACCAAAGGAAGATTGATGACACAGACCTTCCTCCAGAGCTGATGCAGAAAGCATTCCCCTGGAGCTGATGCCCTGAATTTGGACTTGTAGCCTACTGGACTGTAAGAGAATAAACTTCTCTTTGCTAAAGCCATCCACTCGTGGTATCTCTGTTAAAGCAGCACTAGATGACCGAGACATACGGTATCAAATCCTCTTGCATCTTATTTTTTCACTCATAAGTATCTTTCAGATTAATCTATTAGAACAAAAATTTAATTGTCCGTTATCTTAAAAACCAATGAAAAAGCCTTCCCTTAGTCCAATATAAGGAGCCCTGGTGGCACAGTGGTTCAGCACTTGGCTGCTAACTGCAAGGTAGGAGGTTTGAACCCACAAGCCACTTTGCAGAAGGATGTAGCAGTCTGCTTCTGTAAAGACTACGGCCTTGGAAACCCTATGGGGCAGTTCTACCCTGTCCTATAGGGTCACTGTGAGTTGGAATCGACTCAATGGCAACTGGTTTGGTCTTTTGGGTTTAGTCCTATATACCTTGCCACCGGTCCCATTTCCTTGCTTCCCTCCTTAAAAGAGTTTTCTATATGTACGTCTTCTACTTCCTTACTTCCCATTTATTCTACTCACATTCAAGTCTGGCTTCCACCCTACCACACTGCATTGAAACTGCTTGTCAAGGTCTCCAACATCCTCCATATTACCACAAATACCATGTTTCAGTTTAAGATGCACATTAAAATTTTTTTTCAGTATCTCTACATTGGGATGTCTTATAATTGATGACATCTAATCATTATAAATGCTAGCATTTTTCATAGCACGTAAAATAATGGTGCACCTTATAATCGATGGCATCTTCAATTCAACGAAACTGGGCCAGTTACCAGGTTTTTGTCATTTTACCTGACTTTTCAGCTACAGTGGCTCCAATAGACCTTGACTTTCTGGAAAATTTTCTCCTCCTGGCTTCCATATACAAAATCCCCTTAGTTTCCCCCCTACTTTTGTGTACTTTTTCCTTTTCTGGTTCAAATGATGGGCATGCAAGTCTCCTTCAGTGATCACTTCTCCGTGTGTGCTCTGCTAAGGGGTGATACTCAGTCCCATGGCAACAGCTAGCAGATCATTACAGCTCATGCCCAAACCTCTGCTCAGTAGTTCAGACAGATCTAACTGCAAAGTTAACATTTCTACTTGGATGTCTAAAGGTGTTCCTAGCCAACACATCTAAAACAAAGCTCTTGGTTTTCCCCCACTCAACTTCAGCAATTTCTCAAGACAGAAACATGGTAATCCAGTTTCTTTTTCCTTACTCCCACATCTTATCCCTAAATGTTGTCCAGTCTACCTAGGAAATATTTCTAAAACATGTCCACTTTTTCTCTATCTCCACTAACATCACCCTAGTTCCTCTCCAGACCACTGTCAGTCTTCTATTCTACTCTTCCAATCTTCTCCCTTCAATAGTTTACACAGTGGCCAGATCGATCTTCCTGTAACATAGATTTGGTGGTGGTACTTTCCTGCTTACAACCCTCAAAGTCTTCCTCCACGGCAGTTAGACTGACGGTCAAACACATTAGGGCCTACAAGCCCTGCATGATCTGTTTCCTGCCTAACTCTCTAATCTCAACTCCTGCTGCTCTGCCTCTGCCCTATGCTTCAGCCACTTTCTTTGTAGTTAACTCATTCTTCAGGTTTCACTTTTAAATGTCACCTCCTCAGAGAAGTCTTCCTTCAAGTAATCCTCACCCCTCAATTTTATTTCCCAATACTTGACTGCTTCCTTCATAGGTCCTCCTTCCCTTTTCTTCACAGCATAACTTGCAAATTTCTTTTTCTTCCTTTGCTGATTTAAAGTCACCCACTGACACACATACACACTGCAGGCTTGGTAAAGGCAGAAAACATTTCTGCGTTATTCATCTGTTGTCCCCAAGGCCTGGTTCTCAAGAAGTATTTGTGGAAGGAACTGAGTGAGGGAGTCAGACATACTAGTTATCATCAAATATCTGCAGGGCTTTCATATGAAGGATTCATCTTGGACAGTTCCAGAAGGTAAAACTTGGATTACAAGACAGAAGCTCCAAGAAGACATTTCAGCTAAATCTCAGATAAACACTTTTGCTAAGAATTGTAGGTGTCCAACAAGTCCCAAGGCAGCTCATCATAATTTAGTATTTAAAGGCTAGACTGCAACATTAGTGATATTAACAGTATTCTTCCATTAGGAGGTTGGGCCAGATTACCTCCAAACTCTGTTCTCTGACTTCTGTGGGTTCCACTCAGGGAGTATATAGGTAGCCATTGCCAACACTCAGGGAGTATACAGGTAGCCATTGCAAACTGAGCTCCTAGAGAGCCACATCAGTTTAGTCTCTCCAGATCCACAAACAAAACAGTTCTTCTGCCTGAGCTACCTCCAAAAGCAGAAGAGGGAAAGGGTTCTTCCAAGGAAGTCCAGGGAAGCCTGGGCTATGATATTAAAATAAAATCGAGACCAACAGATGTCAGTAGCTGGATTTTATTCAACTTTATTAAAAATTAAAACTACAGAAAAAAAAATTGAATGTACAAGAGAATGGAGAAATGATTAGGTAGAAAATAGATACACACAGCAATGATGACTCATACTTGTGGCTATCAGACCATATCCAGCTCCTCTCATCCATCTATGGGGGAAGACAAACTATGTCATTACAGATAGCAGTTGACTATTGACCAGGCTGTGGTCTCTCCTGTATGCAGCCTACACGTCTTCTCTACTCACTGTAGCTTAGAGAGACCTCCTGGACAGAGTTTGGAAAAAGACTACATACAAATATCTTTAACCTGCTCTCAGGTCAAAGGTACAGAAGCAGCCTGGGCATGGAACTCATGCCAAGGGGGCAAGAGTTCTCTGAACACCCTTATATGCTCAGTCACCTGAGACATACCTCACCTGAGTATGTCACACCTTCTATCATGGGTATCCTGAACACAAATAATTCTGATCCAAGGTACTAAGCAGAGGCAAACCACTTGTAGCTGACAGGCTGTTGAGCAGCTGAAAAAGAAAAGTGTGCTCAACTGAGAAGGCAAGACAAGCAGAAAATGGAGCAAAAGAAATAAATACCAGTCATAGCCTTAGCCCAGGAGTCTGTGGGCAAAGCCAGGTGATTCAACTCCAAACCCTGCCCGACCATACTTCCAAGTCCTCAGTCGGCTGGTGTTGGGTTTAGAAAGCACAAAGTGAACTGAGCACTCGGTTCTGCCTTCCCAAACCAGAAGGCACAGTTAGTTACTCTGATGGCCCAGGGCCCTAGAACTGCTGAAGGATCATTTTTCGTTTCAGGTCATAGCTGAACTTGTTCATCCTAAAGAGTTCACTGTCATAAAAAGCTGAGAGGTTGTGGATGTTGATCTGACGAGCCTAAAAAGATAAAAAATGTCAAGTGAGTGACAGTGAAGGGGATAATGATTTCCAGTACTTATATAGAGCCTTGTATCATCATATGCAGGACAAGACTTATCATCTCCAATTTACAGGGGGGGAAGAAGCCAGGTGCAGAGGTTAAGAGTCTGCAGCTAGGTAACATGGGTTCAAATCTTAGCTCTGCCGGTTACTGTGTGAATCTGGACAAGTTACTTACTTACTCTGTGCCTGCTTCCTCCTTTGTAAAATGGGGATGACAATAACAGGACCGACCTCATTCAGTTGATGCCAAGATTTAAAGTGCATGGGATGAGTGCTCAATACACTGTAAGCACTCATCAAGTGGCAATCACCCAAGGTCCCACAGTTACTGCATGGCAGAGCATGGACTCTCTTCCATCACTGTGATCAAGTCCCCAAAGATGAATCTGACAACTCCCAAGGTTGCCAGCCCTGATTCTCAACTCTCCTCCATGTCCATACCTTGTCCACCAAGTCCTTTTCAGGCACTTCAATAGTGTCCTGCTGGGCCCCAAAGCGGTTGCGTTGATATGTCACCTGCTCTGCCACTAACTGTTTCAATATGAAGAGCAACAGCTCATTGTTATCACGCCGGAATGAAAGATAGCGGGCAAATGTCTGCAGAAGAGAAAAGCAACAGTCGGACAACATACCTCACTCCCAAGACCTTAAAGCTACTACAGGATGACCAGCTTCCCACTTCAACCACACTTCCCTCACCTCCTGCTCAGAGGAGCCAGACCAGGAAGCTACTGCCCACAGGCAGGAGAACAAAGCTTAGGGTTCAGGCCGTGCTCCAAAGGGCCCCAAGCCTCACTCACACCCACCTTTCGCATGCTGCGCATGACACTGAACTTCTGCGTGTCGATGAAGCTCTCTAGCATCACACGAATGGCCATGTTGACATCGTCCTCTATCACGTAGTCCCGCAGGTGGATGCGCGCATGGGCCTCTGCCATGCGGATCATAGACTCGATGTGCCGCACTGTAATAGGGATGCTGCCTGTTGCCTGAAGAAAAAGACATTGTCAGGTCTTCCTCAGGTAGGAAAGAGAAGCAAGGAAAACAAAGAAATGGAACTCTCAGCAGCCTGAACGTAATGGTGGCGCCCAGGGGATGCTGCATGCTTATGGCTTCTCACCACTGTGCCTGCGCACTTCTGCTCCCACTAGCTGATGTGTTCTACTTGCTGCCTGCTGTATTCGTTATTCTCATGTAACTAAATATTGCATACTGAAATCTCTAAGTGGGGAAACTTATTTCCATGAAAACTAAGTTGAATGCTCTGAAAGGATAAAGTTAAAAAAAAAGTGCTGTCAGATCAAGTGTGGCTGAGGTGGGTGTACCATACAAATCTATAAGAACTCTACATTCCGGTTGCTTGCAAGCTCCTTTCAATTCTCACTCTACTATAAATGAACCGAAACTGAACTCAGACCACGTGTTCATTTGGGTAAGATTTATGCAAAGTTAACACAGGACTTAATCAATGGATCAACACTCAAAAGGCCTTGGCCCTGTACCAAGATACAGGCAGTCTCCAGGTTACGAACAAGATCCGTTCCTGCGTCTTTAAGTCAAATTTGTAGGTAAGTGATAACAGGTACATACAGTTCTTGTTTAGCCTTACTTTAGTGCAAGAAAAGGCTTGAAGCCTTTTCAATGATTTAAAAACTGCACGTGAAGCAAGTCAAGGTGACTGTGATAAAGATTTTGTTGTGAGTAGGGGTTGGTTCAAACGTTTCAAAGTGAGGGCAAATTTACATTAACATTAAAGTGCAAGTATGAGTTGTCCATAAGTCGGATGTTTGTAACCTAGGGACTGCCTGCAGACAAATGAACGAACCTTTAATTCTCTATAAAACTAAATGATAAGGTATACCAAACCAGAAAACCAAACCCATTGCCGTCGAGTCGATTCCAACTCATAGCAACCCTATTGGACAGAGTAGAACTGCCCCATAGGGTTTCCAAAGAACGCCTGGTGGATTCAAACTGCCGACCTTTTGGTTAGCAGCTGAACTCTAAACCACTACACCACCAGGGTTTCCACTACGGCACCAGGGTTTCCAAGTATCCTTTTTTATGCCTTCTGCTTTAGCACTTTTTGGATTAACTGACCAACTACCAACCCCAACTGCATGGACAAAAAAGTTTCTCCAGCGCTTCCTTTCTTACACCCTACCCCGCCACCCTTCCAGGCTCCATCCCTGGGGCTCTCACCATAGATTCTTTCCTCAGATCACTGTACATCTTGGCCACCTTGTCCTGATCCATCTGGTTGAGCTTTGGGTGGACCTTCTCCTTGGCATAGATAATGTACTTCTTCAGGACCTCCTGGGGTAAAGGTTCCACTCCGTATGTGTTGGGCATGGCGGGCTCCAGGGTGCTGTTGTTGACCAGCCCCTCCTCCTCCTTATTGCTGGGGTGGTGTCTGACATGGCTGCCCACCACAAAGCGGGCCAGCATCTCATCCTGAGAAACGAGGCCGGAGGTCAGGCTGTAAGTTAGCTCTCAGTGACCTGGCTTGGTGGAAGAACTGAAAAGCTGTACGTGCTATGAGAATGACATTCTCTCAACGGCACAGATCCTACACCTACTAGGGACAGTGTTAGGTGGTAGGGATACACTGGTAAACATGACAGAGCCCTCACAGGGCTTACTTCCTGGTGAGGGATGAGAAGACAGATACAGTT